GATTTAATGGTACTGCAGGATCAAAGACGAGCTTCAGATCCTGTTTTTCCTGGTTTCTTGAAAAAAATACTTTGCATTCCATTGTCCTGAGCTCATAAAACCAATCTAGCACTTTGATTTTCTTTTTGTGATAAAGAAGAAAATTTCATCAATGGCTCCTAAAGGAAGGTAGGACTTAGGCCTGCGCTGTTCTTGCTTGGTTCAGCGATTTTACAACACATTGTTACAAAAAACGCATTGTGTTAAGAAGATTCTCAGGCTAGAAGCCGTTTGGTCTGTCTGTTGTATAAAAAGCAGGGCTTAACTGAGTTTTATTTTGCTTCAATAAACGCTTAGGAAGAGGTTGCTAATTTCATACATTTCTTATTTTTTAAGGTTTGTACGCCGGGAGAAGGAAATTGCTGTTGCTCGGTACGAAGCATCTGAAGGAGAGACGCTACGCTACAAACAGCGAGTCGAGCACCAAGACCGAGAGCTGAAGGAGCTGCAGGAAGCTCTGAATGCTGAGAGGGAGAGGATGCAAGTATGAGACTGAATAACCCTAACCCCCTTTATCATGATATCTTTCTTTTTTAACAATGTAAATATGTACGTTTTCATTAAAAGTGGAGGTGACTTACGTTAATAATCAGGGGCTTTTGAAACTGTTTCACAGGAGATTATGGCTGTATATTATATCTGGTGTAACTCCCTGGTCTTTCTACCCCTTTCTCAGTTGACGAGCAAGACCCTGTGTGAGCAGCAGGAACAACTGAAGAAGATGGAGAGTATCAGCGCTCTGCAAGAGAACAACAGGATGCTGAAAATGGACAGAGACAAGCTGGAACTGGAACTTCAGCAGGTTCAGGCTAAAGTAAGAAAGAGTCTCCTTTTTTTCTATTACAATGACTAGAATAATGCAATGTTTCAGTAGTACTGAACGTTACTTTTTTAATTTAAGAGCATGAATGAAACTCGACATTGATCTTAATTACAGCTTATCCTAAAACACATATTTGCATTCAAGAATGAGGCACATCTGGGGAAGTGGTAGCCTAATGGTTAGGGCATAGAGCTTAGAATCCTGAGGTTCTGAGTTCGAGCCCCACTCCCACAGACTGCCACTCTGGCTCTCTGAGCAAGACCCTTAACCCCACATTGCTCCCTGGGTGCCCCACAATGGCAGCCCATTGATCCACAAGGGGATGGGTTAAATGCAGAGGTAAATTTCTCCAATGTAGGATCAATAAAGTTCAGTTATTATTAATTTGATTACAGTTCAGATATTATAGTTTAAAATATTTAATAAATGTTTGATATGTTGCTAATCTCTTCATTCTAAGATTTACATATATTAACTGTATAATCACTCTACCAAATAGAAAATTTATTTAAAAAATAAGAGGTTTTCTAACCCTAAGATTAATTGTATGTTAGCAGAGAAATAAGAACACAAAATGATTTTACACAAATAAAAGAATGTATCTTTCCCATTACTGGTAGCTTCTAATAGTTATAAATTGGTTCCGTGATTGACATCCTTTAATTTTGCAGCAGTAGCTCTTCTTGTTTCTTCCGTTCCTTAGGAGGGTTTTCAACCATTCATGGTTCTTCATAGAAAACAATACAGTTTTTAACATTTTCCCAGAACATAGTCTAGGGCAGAACAGACAGCATTATATTGACATTTGGGGGAAAAAAAAAAAAAAAACTGAATCTTTTTTATTTAATTTTAGGACAAGAAAAAATTCATTTTTAAACACTAAATTTAGCTGGATTTTTTTTACTTATTGACATAAGACTAAAACTGGAAATTAACTGCAATAAAAATCTTGTCTGGTGTAAAATGCCTCAATAATCATACAACTCTGTCTCTCTGTTTCTGCAAGGTAACAAAGCTACAATCGGACATCGCCCCCCTGCACAACTCTCTATCTGTCCTATCTGAGAAAAATGGCTCCCTGCAGGCTGATAAGAGGCTGCTGGAGGATGAACTCAAACGCTGGAAGGCTAAAGTTCAGGTAAGCAGAAGGATAAAGAATAGTTTACTTTTAGTATTTTTCCAACAGTAGTCAAGTTTTAAGTTGTTTTACTGTTTTTGTGCTATGATGCCAAAGGAGTGAATTGATTCCCCAGAACCAGAGTGACCTAAAGAATGTGTTGCTGTTTTACTATGGAAACATTTGAGTGATCTTGGATTTTTTTTTTCTTCAATTAATTGTTACCTATGATTTCTTCAAAGGGTTAATTTGAATAGGAGTTTCCCTCTATTGATGAAATATGGCAGCACTGATGGGGTATAGTCTCAAGTGGTTGAATATACCTTCAGTTGGCACACTAGTTTGGTCTAACCTTTACACAAATGTGCAAACATTTAAACGCTTAAGGCTGCTTGTATATATGCATTTTGTATTTATCCATCCAAAACATCTTCCTGCTTTATTATAATTTGGACTTTTTTTTTTCATCATGCTGTTAAAAAACAAACTATAACTATAGAAAATTTAAGTGTGTAAAGGTAGAGAATTAAACATTTTGGACCTCAAATATGTTTTAGTAACAGTTTCCCACTGCTTTGCAAAAAAAGGATCTATGAATTAAAATATGAGTATTTTTCTGTTTACTTATAAACTGTTGCATGTTTTTTTCAGAACAGATGAAGCAGTGTGTTCTCTCCTCTTCTTTTGGTTTTCCACTTGAGTAAATTTCAGTCTTTGTGTCTCCGCAGCACCTGCTTAGCCAACAGAAAGAGGGAGACGCCGAGGAGAAGCAGAAGATGATGGCTGAAAAGGAGGCCCAGCAGAAACGCATAGCCCAGCTAGTGGAGGAGACAGCAAAGCTGAAGACAGAGTTGGTCAGGTACACGGCATTTTACTACCAAGCTTTGTGGGATAACATTCACAATGCAGCAAGGGACGGAGAGACCAGTGATTCATTTGCTCCTCTGTTCTGTTGTGTCAATTAGATCCAACGCCAGCGGTAATTCAGCTCAGTCCCAACTTCAAGGTCTCAAGGACTCTGTGGTCCGCTTGACATCGGAAAAAGACTCTCTCAAGAAAGACCTGGAAACTAAAAATAACGACATTCTGGAGAAGAACAGGACCATCAATCAGGTGAAGAAGATCGGACGCCGCTACAAGACTCAGTACGAGGAGCTCAAAGCCCAACATGACAAGGTATGACTTTCGACATAAAAAAGCACCTTGCTTCTTTATTACCTATAAATGGTCAAACAAGCATTAACTCAGGGAAGCAAGTGTCTTTAAAGCTGTCTACACTTATTATAATTTGATTCATGCTCAAATATAAATTGTATTTGTGATATAAGCATAGATCCTGACAGAAATTAAGTGCAGAAAGTAATAATTTGTTTTGGTTCTAGATGATCAGTGAATCCTCTGGAAATGAGGAGCAGAAGAAGATCCAAGAGGAACTAAAAACTGTAAAGGAGGAAGCTCAGAAACACCAGCAGGAGGTGAGCTCAGATGAACATTGAACTGTTTGAGTTTGTTTAAAAGACCAAAGAATTTGAACATGGAAAGTTTACAGCTGATGTTTAATTAAAAACTAAAACAGAATATCTTCTTTTGTATTTTACTAAGAAAGTCAAATATAGATTGAAAAGTGAACTGAACCCTGAACATGTGCTTTTTTCAGATGCAGTAAACAGAAATACTGTTATCTGTAAGCAATATTATTAAATTAAATAGTATAGTTATGATGAATTCAGTTCCAACAAATGCATCTATATGGCATTTTTCAGTTAGGCAGTTCTACAATTAGTTTAGATCAGTATAATTCATAGAACTATAATCCAAGCCTGTAGTCGGGATCAGAAATAAATTAGTCCCGATCAAAGAGAAGTAAGATATGTTTCCTGTTGACTGGATCTCCATTTGATTTAACTGCTAAGGCTGTAAGATTCTCCGCAAGAAGCCAGAAATATGTTCTTTTTCTTTTGGCTTGTTCTCGACACAGTTTCTGAGATTATTTTTCATGCAGTGTTTCTGAGAATAATAGTCAGGATTTGAATGGGCTTTGTTAGGAAGGCAAAGCAGAGATGATTTTCTCTTTTTTTTGGGGTCAAGCAGTAATCTGTACCATGATCTGTTTAGTAGTAGATAGTTTGAAGATCGGCTGACAAAGACTGTGAGAAATTAAGGACACCTGTATGATGCATCTTCTAAGTAACATAATGCGTTTTGCTCTCCTCAATAATCCGATATATTCCTCCTCTGCCATTTTCTTGCTGGTGTTTTTTTTTTTTTTTTTCTCAGCTGTGATCTAAGCTATGGTTAATTGACTTCCTGACTTTAGCAGCTAAACGTCTGATGAAGTGACCATACTCTTTCTGAGTAGTATCCTAATCTGTGTTGATTTAAATTTAGCAAAAGGTTTAGATCACACGAGGAAAGATTTGTGAGAATTGAGTTTATTTATGGCCCTAAAAGTGAATGTAATTTAACATCTCTGTCCGGAAGTATGACTAACAGACAAATACGTTTAATATTAAGGTTGAATGATTTAGATGTTTATTTGCTGTTGCCACAAGCATGTAGATGTTTCAGTGTTTTCATGACCTAGAAAGTTGGTCACAGAACTTTACTGTTATTGTTGTGTGAAAGTTCTTCTAGTTTCATTCATAGATCTTCCCTTCTGTGTAACAGCAAACCCACATTAAGTGCATCACTGTTACCCAAATAGCTAGAGTGAGAAAGTCAGTGTCTTAATGTAAAGATTATACTGCACATGCAATTGATTACACAGCCATATTTTATACTTACATTTGTTTCATTTTGAATTTTTTGTAATGGAATTATTTAAAACACCAGTAATTATATATATTTTTACCACCAGGCTCAAAAATCCCAGCAGGAGTTGGAGGCAGCTCAGAAGGAAAATCAGCAGACCAAGGAGAAGCTCCAGGAGCTCCAAACCAAGCTGACACAGAACCAGAACCAGCTGACACAGGTATCTCACACTGACACAGAGCAAACTTTACTGCAGTAGTTACATAGCACAGTTTAAATAAATAAAGCAGTAAGTTTTAAATGAATAAAGCTATAACATAAAATCATACATTAAGAGGGAAGGAACTCACCAGGGAGTTTTTGAAATGTCTGTTACAGACTGATGGAAATGCAAGCATAACTCACTATGTTTATATGCACAACATTTCAGGATTGGATTAAAAAACAAAAAGTATGTTGTATTTTTTCAAAGGACATAAGTATCCATCTATCTTCCGCTTAACTGTTGTCAAGGGGGTAGCAGATTCAGTAGGGAGACCCAGATGTCCCTCTCCCCAGCCACTTTGGCTAGCTCCTACAGGGGAATTCCAAGGCTTTCCCAAGTCAGCAGAGAAACATATTACCTCCAGCATGTCCTTGGTCTCCTGCCTGGAACCCTCACCAGGGAGGCGTCCAGGAGGCATCCTTGCCAGATGCCCGAACCACCTCAACGGGCTCCTCCACTCTTGAGTTCTCCCTGGATGACTGAGCACCTCACCCTATTTCTAATGGAGAGCCCAAACAAATTACAGTTCAGCACCGACTGCCACCCATCACACAATGCACGCAACCCCTTTGGCCCCTCCGATAGGTGGTGAGATCATTGAAAGGGCATCCCATGTTTTCCTCTTCAGGCGGTGCCCGGTCCCATGAGTAAAAGCGTGGCCACCAGGTGCTCGCCAGCGTGGCCCACTTCTAGGCCTGGCTCCAGGTTGGGGCCCCAGTCACCCGCGTCTGGGCGAGGGAACACTACATCTCATCATAAGAGGTCTTTGGGCTGCATTTTGTCTGGTCCCTCACCTAGGACCTGTCTGCCTTGTGTGGCCCTACAATGGGCACAAAGCCCCTGACAGGATCATTGGGACACTCACACCCCTCCACCACGATAAGGATGCAGCCCAGAAAAGGGAGGAGGAATCATAATAAAATAGTCAATAGGACTAAAAGTGTGTCATGTAAATATGCTGAACGAATATTCTGATTACTGCTAGCCAAAGCAATCCACTTTAAAAGGCAGAAATGAGGTATATTGAAGGTTTGCCTCATTCAAAATAACTTGATCTGGACAAGTGTTTTCATGCACGCAGATTGGTTTGTCACCAGGCATAAACCATCCCTCATTAGTCGGACTACAACTTCAGTCCAATCCTGACATGTTTACACAACATTGGATAACTAATATCCATACAAATGTAGCTATTGATGTGCATGTTTGTCCTCGCATGTTGGGTTTGTGTGATGGAAACGTGGTGTTAAACAGTTAATTTTGGTTGCCTTTCCAGGTTCAATCCCAGCTGTCTCAGATCCAGACCCAGCAGCAGCAGAATCAGAAAGAACTTGAGCAAGCCAAGAACCAAAGCCAGCAGGTAGGATTACAGCTGTTCGGAGGACTTTACTCAAAAAATTATATTGACGTTAACAATGAAGCAGCGCAATCTTTTTACCTGTCTATAGCTGCAGATGAAGTTGAAAAGCGTCCAGGCCCTGGCCCAGGCCCGTCAGAACCAGATGCAGCAGATGCAGAGCGATCTGCAGCAGGCTAAAGACGCCCTTCAGCAGAACCTTGCCAAACAGAAGGAGCTCCAGCAGACAGACGAGGCGACCCAACAGAGCCACAATCAGGAAGTTAACGATGTCAAGACTTTGTTGAGTCAAGCTGAAAACAAGGTGAGGAAGAAATTTCTAAAGCTTTAAAAAAACAAACATGTCAATAACTTTGTTCCTGAAATTGTTTTATTTAAGGAGCATATTATGTTTGTCATTTACCAGGTGACTGAGCTTCAAGCCCAACTGGACAGCCTGCAGAAGGTAAGGATCTAAAAAAAACGTTATTCTGCTGTGTCTGTGTTATGCCCTATAGTATTAAAATATGTTTGCAATGCAGACCTTTCAAAAGCTAAAAAAAATCTACAGAAATGGTGCCTGTTTCTTCACAAATATCTTTTTTTGTGTGTGTTTGTGTATTTCAGACAGTTTCTGAGCGTGACGCAGAGATAAAGCATCTGCAGGAGCAGCTAACTGAAGCTAAGCAAGCGCATAGTGCTACACGAGCAGCACAGGCCAACCAGAGCTCCCAGTCTACCCAGGCCAGTGACTCTACAGCTGCCAGTGAAGTCACCCAGACTCTACAAGAGGAGCTGACCAAACTCAGACAGGAGGTACTCATTTGAAGTCTCCAATCTTATCACTGATTTGTGACTTATATGTTGTTTTTCTAATGTTTGAAATTATTGAATCTGTTTCCCTGCAGCTGTCTGACTGTAAGAACAAAGAAGAGCAGCTGAAACAGGAGATGGCTGAAAAAGAGGAGAAGAGGAAAAAGGTCATCCTTGCAGCCAAGCTTAAAATCAACCAAGTAAACAGTAAGTAGGATAACCTACATTTGGCTCTGATGTTCTTTTTTTAAGTTAGTTGTCAGAGTTAAACCTCTCATTTGGACCTTTACCTGTAGGTGCCAAAGAGCAGCTCAGTCAGGAGGTTGAAGAACTGAAACAGAACAAAGAGGAGCTGGAGGTCAGGATGAGCGCCCTGAAGTCTCAGTATGAAGGAAGACTTCTTCGACTGGAAAAAGAACTGAGAGAGACCCAGGCTCACGCTGAAGGCAGGGAAGAAGCTCAGGACCAGACTGGAGTCAAGGTACATTATGGACTTCTTCACATAATTACTAAAAACAATCCAAAGGTGGAAAAAGTAGATAAAACAAATAAAAGCGCATTTACACTAAATATATGCGACTAAAGTACATTTGAATATGGTTGTGCCAGAATGTTTCTAAAGGGATCTAATTATCTTAATTGCAGTTGTAATTGATGCAATTGTCATTTCTATACTCTTTATCACGGACTCATTTTTTCAATTGCCACTTTAGATTTAGTTTTAATTGTAAATTTACAATAAAATAAAACTAGTTCAATGGTGCATTTTTTTCTTACTGTTTACTTGATTTTAGGATTGCATAAATGTAAACAAATCCTAACAAAAATTGGGTTCAGTACTCGTACATTAGAAGGCTGTTTGGCTGAAGTACCTGTCTGCTGATATATTCTTAATGTAATATACTTGTATTCATCAAGTTAGACTTGGCTAGAGTCTAATGGAGGCAGGAACTAAACACATCGGCCAAAAAGGTCACAGAGGGAAAAATAGAAAATAGGGATCTATTGCAACCTACATCCTCACTGCAACATTTTCCATCATATGTTTTTTTTTTTTGTCATATCCTACAACTCTATCTGTATTTTCTTATTTCAATTCCAAAAAGGGAGAGCAGCCTAGATCCTCAGACCAGAGACAAATTTCTTTGAAGAGTCCTGCTCAGGAGAGGGGCAGGTAAGACTTGAATCAATAAAGATAAAAGTTCAAACAAACTGAGAAAATTGTTATGATGGTATTTGGATAATGTTCATTTTTATTATTTCTAGCCTTATTGCCTCTGAGCCTCCAACTGCCAACATCCGGCCCACTCCAAGTACTCCGTCGCCCAGTAACAAGCCCAGTCCATCCACCGGCAGCAAAGCCACTCCCCGAGCCAGCATCAGGCCTATGGTTACTCCCGCAGCTGTCTCCATGCCAACACCCACAGCTACAGTGATGCCAACTACACAGACCGAGAATCAAGAGGGTAAAAAGAGAGACGCTTTTAAAATACAGAAGTATAATGAAATGCTCTGATCTAACATTTCAAGTGTGTTGTTCTTTGCAGCACTCATCAGTACAGCAGCTTCTGTTCACTCTACCACCTCTGCTCTCATGAACGCTCCCACCACAGCCTTCGTTCAGCCCACCCAGCAGCAGGCAGTCAGTCAGGATGCAGGCTCCAGCATGGAGCCAGAACGTCCAACCACATCTTCCTCCTCCCCCTGTTTGCCTGCAACAGGTGAGGAGCGCTTTCCATCAGACCTGCAATTAAAAATTAACTAAACTAAAAATTAACACTCAAAACTGGAAACCTGGTTATAGTGTTTAAAGTGTCTGTTTGCTGCGGCTAACAATCAGGTTCAAAGCGAAGCAGAGAAAATGAGGAGGAAGAGGAGAGTCAACCTGAAAGTTCACAAACGACTCCAACCACCAAGAAACTACGGCTGAAGCCAACAATCACTCTGCGGGTAAAATATAACACCCTGACACACAACTAAAACACTCTACACGTGTTTTTGTGCCCTTTAGTTTGTTATTATATAGTAGCAACTACTTTTTACCTCTTTATTATACTGTTAAACTGATGTATTTGAGATTTGAATTGTGTAGATTGAAAATTTAAAATAACTTATTTTATTGTGGAGGAAAATGTATATGTGTGGTATCTATTTAAAGGTTTGTAGAGACTGCTTCTATCATCTTTATTTAGGAATCAAACTCAGAGTAGGCTTTAGTTGTAGTAGTTTATTCACCCTACAAACAGATCCAATAAAGATATCAAGTATTATTGCCTGCTTGTTTAGGCCTCTCGTTCTTCATCTTTGCTGGAGAAGAAAGCTATTTCGCAGAATCTCTTCTAAACGATGTTGAAGAGGGATGTAATTTCCCTTGTTACAGATGGAAGGCGACGAAGAGGTGGAAGGAGAGCTGAGGCATGTGGAAGAGCAGCAGGCTTCACCTGATGACAGTCAGGTCTGAAATTAGGGAGAAATGAATGAATGTCAGACCTGCAAATGTATGTCTTCAACAACTTGTAATGCTTTTATGTTTGGCTTTTAGGAGCTCCCAGAAGAAGGTTTCCATGGGTTAGCTGAAGACATGGAGGACGATGAAGGCGTCTCTCAGTCCGTCCCCTCTGACCAGGGCTCCCAGAGCTCGGCTTTAATAAGAGACGTTATCGTAATCGACACAGATAGCGAGAGCCGGGAGAGCAAAGAGGGAGACCAGAGGGTGGAGGAAGAAGACGAGGAAGAAGAAGAAGAGGAGGAAGAGGAAGATGCAGCTGGAGAGAAGGTCTAACAAATAATTATATGTTTGTGAATGAAAGGGATATAAATATATATATATATATGTTAGCATTGAGATGACCAGAGAACTTGGGGGTTTCTTCCGTTTTTCTGTTTTAGGAAGAAGACATTGATGACGAAGATGCTGCTGACGGTGGGATGAGGGGTGGAGAGGAACATAATGAGGACAGTCAGGAAGCTGAAGAGGGGAGAGAGGACGGAGTTCCATCAGAGGTTACCAACACTGAGGAGAATGTGAGCGCCTCCTCCAGCTCCCAACGTCCATCTGACCCTTCTCAAAGCGGTGAGCTACAACTCCTGAGACACATTGCCTCTATCACTTTGGCTACATTCACTCTGCAGGCCTTGTTGCTTAATTCAGATTTCTATTTTTTTTGTGAAATCCGTTTTTTTTTGCGTTCCAGTTCCATTTCCAAATATATGCAACTTGTATGTGATCTCCTGTGTGAACTGCAGTCATACAACGCAAGTGTCCTGCATTCGCAGTATAGGACGCAATGACATAACAGACCAGTGTGCTCTGTGTTTACGGAAGTAAACATGGATGGTAGTGTCGGGGCGCATCTTGCGATCTTTCCAAACCATAAAAACACAATCTTTTCAAGATGGTTAAACATAAATACGTCGTCCGCCATGGTTGTTGTTTTTCTTGCCGCTTCTTCATTGCAAGACCCAGAATAGTGACCTTTGTCGGGTGTTAATGGCCTTTAGGTCAGATGAATGCGACCTGGTCGTTCAGACACAGGTCGCATTTGAAAAGATCAGATTCATATCGGATTCAGGACCGCATAACCAAATGGCCTGGGTCCTATTGGAAAAAATCGGATCTGTGTTGTTCAGACTGAAATGAAAAGATCAGATACAGGTCGCATATGGGCCAAAAAATCGGATTTGGGTCACTTCAGGCTGCAGTGTGAACATAGCCTAAGACATCTGCATACTAAATCAGTCTCTTCTAGGTACTGGAGCTGGAACGGATCCTGGAGCTGCTAAAGACCCCCCGCACTTCCCTCCGGCCTGCTCCTCTGCACAGTCGCCTTCCTCATCCTCCCTAACCATTCGGCTGCCCCAGGCACGCAGGCCTCCACACGCACTGCCACCTCGCCTCTATATCCAAGCTCCTGCTCCTGAACTGGGACCCCCGCATACACAAGTAAAAAAAAAAAAAAAAAAAGTTATTACACACTAAACACTGTTTGTTCTTGGAGTGTTTACTGCCTGTCATGTTATGCTTATTTTGAAAACAACTAACTAAAATAGAGAAAACCTCCTCTGTTTCACATCATCCTCTCACAACTGAATAATTTCCAGTTTGATATAAACCATGCAGGCGGCGGCCTTATTTGACAAAAAATATACAGAAGAGCAGTTTTGTCTAAATTCTGTTGCATATGATTGAAAAATGTCAAAAATATTACTGCTACAGTTGTTACTAAAACTGAATGCTTCATTTAGTGTCTTTCTACTATAAAACTTGGAGTTAGCTAAGACACTTAGATTAAACTCCTGTGAGATATATTGTGTGCATGTACCATCCTGTAGAAATTATGTTTTTTTTTCTCTTTAGAGACAGACTTCTCAGCTGCGTAGACCATCATCTGGTCGCGGACCTCAATTAACCCCTGGTTTGGCCTCTATGGTAAGAAAGTGAAAGTGTGTTTTGCTTTACTACCACATCCAGCTTATTTTGAATTCAAACAGGGAAAAAATACATTTGTTACATTTAGAAATGAGTTACTATTTAATCTAGAAGCCTTCTTGATTAAAGATAATCTGCTGGGCAATTCCTATATTTAATGAGCTAAGCCAAGCTACCACAGATGTTTATTTCATTTTATTTAAAAATTCCTACTTGGCGTCTTAAATCAGGTGACAGAGAAGCTACTTTTACATGCGGAAACTTTCCCTGATCCGATCTAACCATGGGTTGATGGAGAATTTTCAAAATATGTTTGCATGGACATGAAACAAAATGATCCCATTATGACGTGTATAAACATGTAGCAAACGTTCGATCAGACTAAATCATTTATGCAAATGCATCGCACACCTGCACAGTGGAGTTTATTTTACTCCAACGGTCTGAATGGGTGTGTATATGGATTGCAATTGGAAAAACGTCCTCTCTCTTCCAGAGTGAAATCTCTTTCGATCGGACTGAATCGAATAAGGATCTTCAGTTGGACATGTTTACATGAAACAGTTTTGATTGGATCAAGCCTTCAATGCCATTGTTGGGGTCCATGTAAACGTAGCTACAGATGCACCTGTACTTACACACTATCCACAGCATTCAAGTTTCCCTTGACCTACTGGTTGCTTGGAGCAGCTCCAATCACAGGAATCCAGCCTACTTTCTGAATAACTGGACCATAATTATTAAACTTCTTTCAGAATCAGACTTTGATGCTTCAGAGCATCCCTCATCACAATAAACATGTACTCAGGGGTCAAAGTAATGGAAATTATTGCCGTTTCTGCGTACCACCTCTAAATCATTTAAGGATATTCAATACTGAAATGTTGCATCTTACTTCTAGCCATACATATACTTTACAAAAACAGATTTGGCTCAGGCCACTGGGATTAGATTGATCTAAAGAAACGTTGACCTTATTGGAGAGTCGGAATAGGCTTTGTTTGAATATGAGGGTGCCGTTCTTCTCATTAAATGATATACAGATGCTACTGATCAGTTTAAGGAACAATTTTTTTTCAAGCCCATAAGCTACTTGTATTAAAGATTGGGTTTGTTTATTTCTACAGCCATTCTTTGATGACGACGACAGAATGGTTCCCAGTACTCCCACTCTGGTTGTCCCACACCGTACTGATGGTTTTGCTGAGGCTATACAGTAAGACTCATAAACATTTCCTCCTTTTTATAAATGGATTACTTAATGATTTGGAAACTGAAAAGATGAGTGAATGTTGATTTGCCTCTGGAAGCTCAAGCAATCACTGACTTCCCAGTCCAGCATGTGATCTCCCTCCATTCAACTATGTGTGACTGTCTTCTCTTCCTTTACCCAACAGTTCGCCCCAGGTAGCGGGCCTGTCCACTAGATTCAGGTTTGGACCTCCAGAAGATTTGCTGCAACAGACACCATCTTCACATTCTGACCTGGGACAACTGGCTTCTCAAGGAGGTAAAAACTGTACCCTCATAATGACCTCGTCAGCTGCTTTCTAATAATCGGTTCCTATTATACACCTGAAATCTACATCTCCTTTAAATATTCTGCATTTGCAGGTTTGGGTATGTATGAGTCTCCTCTTTTCCTGGCTGCTCACGATGAAGATGGAGGTGGGAGGAGTGTCCCCACTACACCTTTACAGGTGGCGGCACCAGGTCAGCCAACACCCACTGGACCATTTATTTCCCCCGCTTTATTTTTATATTTATCTTTTTTATTGCTTTCTAACTTTGTTGTTTGCTTCAGTGACCGTCTTTACAGAGAGCATGCCCTCTGACAGCAGTGACAACATGGCTTCCCAGTCAGTTCCCATGGTAACTGCATCAACAGGGATGGCAGCATCTGCAGACGATGGAGACGAGGTGTTCATGCAAGAAGGAGAAGGGTGATTATCTCAGTCGAGGATTTTTTTTTTTGATTTTTTTTTTGTTAAAAGTATTAATGACCCTAACATATTCAGTTTTGAATTTTAAAATTCAAACATTTTGAAATGAAAAATTATAATAATGACTCTAAGTCAGTAATGGCAGAATTGATTGATCTTAAATGAGCTAATCTTATCCAGCCTCACACATATTTGACCAAGCTGCAGCTGCGTCACTGAAGCTATTTGCAGATCTATCCTGAAGAACTAAATCACTCTGTTTAGTTAGTATTTCTCAAGCTGCATGTGTACGAAACTACCAACTACAAACTCCTCTGTGCTCATGACAGAGATCTACACAGAGCAGTTAATTGTGTATTATTTTTAACCACATGGATGCCTTGAATGTAATATTATTACATCACAGTGATACGTCTTACGTGATGGTGTCTCCAACTCTTGTATGGTTATGTTTAGACCAAGTATTGAGACATCCTTAGACAGCCAGACAGACGTGGAATCAACCGGACAGCAGAATGATGATGCTTCACTGCCATCTACGAGCCAAGACCCTGGTAATTCACTCTGTCACATTTCCCTTAAAATCCTTTCAGAAGTTTATAAATAAGGCATAGCATGTAACTGCAGCCTCTGGTGTTTGTTCTGCGCTCACCTACTTCATTCACTCTGCTTTGTTTGATCAGCAGATCGATACTTTATGTGAGGCATGGCTCAGCTTTCCTGTGTTTTTGTCTTCAGTATAATACTTCTGGACTTCAATGAGTGATGCTGAAGCTGTAAATAGTCAGTGCTGCCACCCTCTGGTTTATGGGGGAACTTCTTGTTCCGCCAAATAGTGTTAAAGAATCCTTTAAAAAAAATCCTGCATCCAGATTATGATGTGGATCATCACCATAATGTAATAGATTGTTCCTTGAACTAATTTAATTTCAATAAAATCCTTTCATAACTTTTCAAGTTATCCTGTACACAGACAGACAGATGAACCACCCAAAACCTTGATTAAAATTATATCTTCCTTGGAGGAGATAATAAATGGCCCCCACCTGAAAACTCAGGTTGTTGCCACAAATATATAGAAAAGTTAATGTTTGTTTCTGTCAAGGGCATTTAAACTGATTTGAGTTACTTTTCTGTAAGGTTTAGAGAGACCGTACATGGATTTAAGCAAGAAATGTTTCCAAACTCTGGGAGATTTAGGTCTGAAATGGGAATACACCTTATATCCGTATATACAAGGTGTATCCTGTTTGGCTGATTTTTTGTTCCTTTTTCTTTTTTTTATTACCTTTTTCGAAGTATATCTGGCCCTATATTCTAATTATTATTGCTGATGTTTATTTCCATAATGGCATTGATGGGGCAAGCAGATCAAATGTGTTTATATTAGTTTCTATTGGCTGTCAGCCATAACAGCAGTATTGATCTTGGATCTCCATATGATGCATCCCTGGTTTAAAATGAGCATTTAATCTAAACAAAATAGACCATGAATTGTAGTAATATTCACATATCGGAGAGGATCAGCTCGTCCTGCTTTTAATGTGATTAATTATCTGTAGAATAAACTAAAGATTAGATCGTGAAAAAACATGAACCATCATAACAGGTTAAACATGCAAAACGTTGGTCAGGAATTAATTTAAAATTACCGGTATAGAAAAAATATTTTAAATTGCTGCTCTTTGCAGCATTGTTTTATATTGTATTTTAATGTGTTCACAAAGATTTCTAAATATCTGTGTAATTAGCTATAAATTTTAACACATTTAAGAAATTCTAACTTCCAACATTTTAACTTAAACTGTGGATTGTACAACAGTTTATTAAGGCCAGGCTAGAGATTTCTTTTTTCTTTTTTTTTTTTTTTATACATACAGGAATAAAGTGATAACATTATGAGAATTAATTGATAAAATTGAAAAATATCCGAGATAGAAGTTATCGTACCACAACCTGTTTCAGAAAGAAAGATTTGAGCTCCGACCAGCATATGATGGCCAACTAGCATCACCAAACAGTCCACTTTGACTGCTTTGCCCAATTTGATGCTGGTGCGCTAAAAGATTTCCTTATTTGTCAAAGCAATGCCAAAGTATAACTTCACATGATGCTAAACATTCCTCATTTTAGCGAAGAAAGTGCTTCTTGTAAGAGTTGTCATAAAATACAACTTTACTCTTGTAATATTATGACTTTGTTCTTGTTAATGTATTACTTTATTCTTGTAAATTTGTGAATTTATTCTTGTAAATTTCTGACTTTATTGTTTTAATGTTAGGACTTTATTCTCATCATTTTATGACTCTATTCTCAAATTGGAAAAAAAAAATAATCCCGAGCCTGGCCCTTAAACTCCATCATAGAAGTGTGCCTCGTATGCCCTCTATGTAATATTTCATCTTATAGTTTATCATACGGTAAGAGATTGTTGCTGATGCCAGAGACTCATTTGAAGACCACACCTTTTAAAAATAATGAATTTGCCTTCTTCAGCAGCAACTTAAACCAAAAGGCTTGTAGTTGATTTAAATAATTTTATGACCTTTTCTCATTCTCTGCTTCATGTTTGCAATGTTTTCAGTTTCCTGTCATTCTGTTAATTGTTCTTCTTACTGAAAGTTGTTCTGTAAGTCCTGACTTTTCTGAAATTGTTGTTTTGCTTCTTTAATCAGACACCAGCAGTGCTAGTCAACCTCGCTCAGTAACTAGCCAGCCTCTGATGAGCATCTTCTCTGGCAGAGGCAGAGGAGGAAGGTTCCTCAGTCGCAGAGGTAAGGAGAATCTTCTAAATAATCAAGTGAAAAAACTCCAGTGACTCGGAGTGAAATGATAAAGCAGTTTATTTATGTTCAGCAAGCAGCTTAGGATATGAACATGTTTAATCACAACAAAGATCCATTTAGTCTTGGATTTAAATTCTCTCTTGTCAATGTTTTTAGGAACGTTTCCTCGAGGAGGACGAGGAGGAGGAGCAGGAAAAGGGGGTGTGGCTTAACGCTGTTACCAACTAAGCTGAAGTGATTTTCTCCATTAAGGACACGAAAAGCAACATGTTTGCCAGAAACTGCATTTCAAAAAGTTTTAGTCAGTTATCACATTTTTACAGTAGACATAACAGCTTTAGTCCCTCCTTGATATGCTTGTCTGTAAAATCCAGTTTGAGTTGAATTTACCTTTGTTTTTTAGATTTTCTGGAAAAAGTCCTGCTATTTTCTTGTTTTATTTGGATTTAAGAATAAAGTGGAAAAAAGTAGCAGCAATGAGATGTGATGCTTCACTCTTTATGCTTCATAGATGCATTTAAAACCCATATAGAAAGATGGAGCCTGGTTCCGATTTATAACCATTTTTTACATCATCATCATCTAATGAATGTTGAAAATCAGTGAATTGCAGCTATTTCTGTTCAGCAAAAAGCATTTTCTGTGTGTCTTATTGGCGTTATCCTGAAACAGAAGGCTCCGTCTGCTGGAGGCGTCTATGGACAGCCCAGCCAGAATCTGATGGAGTTGGCCTGCTGGGAAGGGTTCTGGCTCTGACCTGCAGAGCTGGTCCCTGTGACCAGAGGGCTCAGGATAGGGGGGGGTTGTGGTTTAGCCAGCGCTGGCAGGTCTCCTGAAATCTGGACTCTGAAATAGAGAGCTGTGGAGGCAAAAAAAAGAGTTTATAGATGATTCTGAGTCAGGATAGAAATTTGGTCATTAGATGAAAGTTCTGTAAACTTAACAGAAAAGACAGGTAGCACATTCAAAATTCCTTTGTAAAAGGGACAAAAGTATTTAGTAATCAGATTATACTCAAATTACATACCAGAATTATGTTGATAAACCTTTTATATTTGCTAGCTTTAAGTTCAGTTATTTGTTTTCATCATGTAGTAAGGTCTCATTGGTTGGTTTGTTAATGTTTTTAAGGAGCTTTAATTGTTTTTCCTTGCAAAGGATTATTTCCCGTTATTTCACATTACAAGCAAAACGATGCAATTCTTTATTTGATTTAATATCTTCCAAGTTTATTTTCACTTTATACTGACAGTTGGATGATGTTATAGAAAATATAAATCTAATACTTTTAACATTTAATGGAGCAAGCTGCAGATTCACAGCTACTATAAGCTTAAAAAGACCTGTTGTCTGAACAATGTTTAGATGCTTTTATTTTAAACTACATTTAGGCTTATTTGCCAATAAACAAAAATGTAAGAGTCTAGATGTGCATAGCTGGTACAGAAGTATCCCATAAGAATCACAGCTCTGACTGCAGTAGAAGTTAATTATACTGGTCGTTTACATAAAACCAACGTTATTTAAATAAGAAAGCTTTTAGGAAGCTTTTTTATGGTTTAGATCCAGATGAGATCCAGTACTTACGCCCAGAGAAGACAAAGTGTTGGAACTGGCTGGGGCTCTCAGGGATTGGTGCAGTCAGAGCAGAGGTGATCGGGGTGGGAAAGCCCGTCAGAGAAATCTTGATGTTGATCTCCCCACTCAGAAGAGCATCTCCTGTAAAAACAGCATCGTTTCTGAGAATTGGCTTATTTATTGCTCTTTTAAGTTTACAACTGAAAGGGATTCTTTTTAGGTCCTGTAATGCAGACTTCCATGTTAAGTTAGGAGATGGAAAAGTGTACAATAGGAAGAAGGCTGAGCTGTTGAAAATATCTAAAGTTTTACTAACCAGCCTTTTGGGCAAGTTTTTTCTGTAAGGAGCTCCTTGGTTTGCCCCTACAGGAAGCAGTGCTACCAGGAGGAAAGGTGAACTTCTGCATCATGTCTCCTAGAGGCCAGTCAGAAACAACAGTTATGGTCAAAAAAAACAATAAGTCTGCACCAGAGATGAGGTCTATAGACCTAAATCTTCAACAAGCATCTGACTTTTCAAATGATTTTGATCCTATTTATGGGCAGCTGGGGTAACATCACTATTATGCTCACCCGGCTTGAAGAAGAACACAGTCTCTGGTCCGTTTCTGGTGGCTGGCACCATCAGAGCCGCACTGATGGGTCCGGTCAGACCTGGAAACTCAGAGGTTAAAGGTTTGGGGTATCCAGGCTCCATAACCAGGTTCTCATCCAGACGCCAACATTGGTCTCCCTGGGGAGGAAAACAAGCAGCATATTAAACTCTTTCTAGAAAGAATGAACAGTTTACATAGCATTGACATTAGATCAAGTAAAATCAATAGAAGCATCATCGTAGGATAACATGTCTTGTACACATGAGACAAGGTCAGTATCCATGATGCAAAATAAATTTTTCCCTATTATCCTTTTTCGTTTCCATATTTCTCTGAGGGCCTCTCTGTACAGTGGGTACTGAGGACACAATCCCCCAAATGGCGTCTGAGATAAGATTTTCATTTAAGTTACTGGATTCATGTCTGGTATCAACAAGGGATAAAATAGGGATAAAAAAAAAAAGTGGGATATTCATTTTTTTAATTTCCCTACCTTAATGATATAGGTGTTTCCATTGCAGCCGACCCTTGTGAAGACCGTGTCGATGGGAGATGGGACCCCCAGAGTCTCTGTGATGTTTTGTGGAGGACCAATAGAGCCTCTGATGGAGTCAACTGCCCAAAATAACTCACCTGCCAGACATTATATACACATTATACACTCGTTCCACATTTAGTCAAAGCAACCGATTAATAATCAGTTCAGTTCAGTAGCTTTTATTGTCCCAGTATGGGCAATTTTTGTGCAGTAGCAGTACACCTTTCACACACATGTTCACATTTCACAAATCACAGATAAAAAATAAAAGAAGCACAAGAAACACATAAATATTTAAAAAGATAAAAGTAAGGTGGATAAAAGAGATAGAAATGTAAAAAATAGTAAGTAAATAAATATGTTCAAGTGAGAACACATAGCTGACCTTTAAATATCAGCATAGTCCCATTGCTGAGAGCTGTCAGCGCGTTGATAGGGGCCTCACTGCACAGGTTTGCGTCAGATGGGAGTCCTACACAAGAACATGTAATTAGATTAGCAGGAGCTCATCAAAGACGGACATTTATTAGACCGCTAACCCTACCTGTCCCAGTTCCTTCAGGCCCTCTCTGCCCGGCAGAGAGACCCAAAGCCTGGGCCAAATCCAGCAGGGTGCTGGGTCTAGTTTCAGCTGGACCTCCGGCTGGGAATACAAAGGAAACCGTGTTTGTTTTTACTGCCATCACTTATAGGATCTTCGGCTTATTGAACAAAGCTAAAATGTCAACCACCAATTGAGTAAACTTTATTTGTAGAGCACTTTCCAGACATTAAACCATCACAGGCACACAATAAAAAGGATCAATTGAAGTACACTGACGGATAAATCATGAGAGAAAATCCTTTAGTTTTAAGGAGTGAGGAAATGGGAATTTACCTTGATTGGGACCAGATGGACTGAGGCTCCCTGGGGTCATCACAAGCTGGACATTCAGTTTCCCCTCTGCAGCTCCGTTTGTGGATGAGCCAACAGGAACACGGCCATCCGAATGAAGAGCACCATTACTGGGCTGGGAAAGATAACCTGCTGGGAAATGAGCCCCACCTAGAGAGGTAGACACTTGCCTGGGCAACAGGCCCCCTGGGATATTTTGTCCACCTGCAAAGCAGAGGAAAAATGAAAATATCTTCCAGTTCTGATCCAATACTCTACAAATACAAGCAATGAAATAAGTTTTGATTTTGAATATTGAAAAGAGAGAAAATCCTAACTTTGATATAGATGATTACCTTGAGCAACAGGAAGAGCGGAGCCCATAGAGCCAGCTTGCAGTAGGTTGGTGGGGCCGAATCTACCTGAATCTAAACAGGCCCCAAACCCCGAGGTAATTAGCAAACACAGCATTGATTCGTAGTTTTATTTCCAGTTAAAATGTTATTAACTATCTCTAAAAGAAATTCCCATTATACCCTTTGTTCTTACTATAAAACAGCTTTATGTGATGTTAAAGGATCAATTCATTTAGACTTTTTAACATTGCTCTACCTGTGTACCATTCCTCACTCTCGCTGTTGGACCTTTGCCGTCCCTTGCCTGTGTTCCTTTTTCCTTTTAAAAATAAGAAGACAATGCACAAAAAAAGGTGAAGGTGCTAGTTATTTGTTATTTATTAACTCTGACATAATTACAATATATTCAGAAAGAGCGTACTGATTATTTTGGTCTTAACATTTGTGCAAAAATGTGTTTATAATAAAAACATTTCCAGTTATCTGCTTTTGCTTTTGCTTCTCTTATTACTAACTTCTAAATATCTGATATATTCGGTTAGTCTGAGACTGATGTGGGAGGATCGTTGAATACTAATTGAATACCTAAATCTTAACTTTTTTATATAGTAATCTGCGCACCAATGACTATTAGAGTCTTACTGACTCGGCCTAAAGCTTTGGGTTATATGAAAGGTTCTACTAACTGGAGTTAGTGTTCCTCTGAGACTGGGAGCTTCCATGACGTGGGATGGTCACAGCGGCATCTGTGGAGAGAAAGGGCCTCTGTTAGTGACCAGTTTGTTTTTCTGTTAAGGAGTATCATTCCCAGCGAATATCAGTCCTACAGACACAAAAGCTTATAACGCTCCACAAAAGTGTTCACACCCCTTCACATTTGGTCAGTTTTTTTTTATTGAAATTTTGCATTAGCTTTTTTTCTTGCAACTTTTCCACAAAAGCCAGATTTGTGCAGATTCTTCCACCTGAGTATTGGAACCCTGCATCTCCTCCAAAGATACTTCATGCACTACATCACTTGCTTTATGAGGAAGTTTGCCATGACAGAACTGGTAAAAAGTTAAAGGAGTATAAAGAGTTTTGCGAGGCACAAGCCCAGAAGAGCAAATTTCACTTTAAGGTGATTCTGACCGCAGTGCAGCTGGAAGTCCGGGCAGCAGGTGTTGTACTGGAGACACATAGGATCACACTCGCAGGGCATACCTCTCCTGTACGTCTCCCCACAGCGACCCTGACAGGATGGAGCTAACAGGATAGAGAGGTTATGGTTATTATAACTAATAAATCTGTGATTACTAATATGTAATAAGATAAAATCTGCAGAGACCAAACAAAAATGTTATTCTTTTTAAAAACAGTGTCAGAAACAAATGTGAAAGAAAAGTTTTAAAGGCCTCTAGGATTATTCATTGAAGGTAATAAAGTTTAATATGGTCTCTAAAACAAAAGATTGAAACAATATTACTGTAAAAAAAATTGAAAACCTTAAAATATACAAAAATTTGATTAAATATGTATATTAAAAAAGTTACAACTAGCTTACATGGAATCTAAATTTGGAAACAGAAAATATTATATAATAGTGCCTAAATCCTTCATCGTCAGTAGAAAAGATTAAACATAATACAGATTGTAATAGTTTAGAAGTCTTAAATACCTAGGATATTGTAGTAATTATTATATTAGCAGATGAGGCAGTCAGCAGAAAGTGGTAAAAAGTTTGACACAAAGAAAAATTGTGATAGAAAATAAATGAACTGTGATGAGAAAGAAGGAGATAAATGTCTATGAAGCATCAGATTAATAAGCTGTTAGAATGTCCCACAGAAATAACAATAAATGCGGTTTGCTTCAAAGCAAGTCTTGAAGACTTTGAACATGATTGCATATTAAAAGAAGACAGCTAAGAAAAATTTACCCATAAACATCAATGGGATCTGTTAAGTTTTAAAACTTAAAAAAAAAATGTAAAAGAATGAAACAGACATGCAATTTTTTTAAAGTTACAGCTTTGAGGGGGTTTAGATTTAACTCTAAAATCAAACTAATCATGAAAGTCAGATTCATGTTGTCTGATTCAGTCCTTTCCAGGATAAAATACATTTTATGACTTCTTCAGTAAAACATGCTATGTATGCAGCCTGTGTTTTTACTGGTGGTGCAGATGGCCTGGAAGTCTGGGCAGCACTCCTTGTGCTGAATGCAGCTGAAGTCACAGGTACACTGCTGACCTCTGGTGAAAACCTCCCCACAGCGACCCACACAGCTGCCTGAAAGTAGAAGAGTTAGGAGTTATTGAACATTTAAGCAACCTGATATGAACCTCAAATGAAGTCTCAATATATTCTTCTAGACTGGGTTGAACATAAAAGGTTGGTTAACTCATATAAAAGCCAAACTTGTGTCATGCAAAAGCTCAGTTCCTACCTGGTCCAGTAGCAGACGCAGCAGCAGCGAGGCAAAGCAGCACGATTCCCAGGTTCTTCATCATCTTCTTCATCCAAGGTCTGGATTTTAACAGTCTGAACAATGAAACAGACAATGTGATGTTATGAGATGGAAAGCAACAGCAGAAAAGCAGTAAGCATCATTTACCTTCTTTATGTATCACCTCCTTCCTTCACAGAGTCAGACTGTTGGTCTTTTATACTTGAAAACCAGCATGACGTATGTTCACACCACCTCTAAAACAGGACACTTTTAATTAGGATCACAAACACACCCTCAGACTAATTAAATCTCACTAGGTGTTTTGAAACATCCTACACTACCACTAACTCTTCCCACACACATAATTATTCCCTCCTAGACTGCAAGCAGAAAGTATGATATCATAATGATACTTCATTTTGAATTTATATAAGAAATATTCTTTCAGGAACAGATTTTAAATTTCATATGAGCCCATTGATCTTTTTAAAATAATTATTTTAGCAGTACAGATAAAAAACAGATATTCAGAAGCCCCTCCATCTTTTTCTTTAGAGGTCTTTAACGATGGACGATTCCACTCCTACCTGGTTCCTTTTAGTCTAAATTTCCATTATTTAACCAGTTTGAATAATGAGGTATTGGAGCCAAAACTGAAGTCATTTGGTTTTAAACATTTTTGTGGCGGGGTTTTGATTGTTAAGCTCAGTTCTTAGGTCATAAACGGTGAAAGAGGAGATCAAAAGGAAGACAGAGGGAGAAAAAAGAAATGGATGGAAGACGTCAGCTTTGGGGAGACGACGAGCTCATGGTGTTGAACGACTTCTTTGAAGCTTTTTCTCATCTGTGGTGGTCAATGAATGCAACTAAAACATTAAAAAAAACATCCATCCATCCATCCATCCATCCATCCATCCATCCATCCATCCATCCATCCATCCATCCATCCATCCATCCATCCATCCATCCA